AAAAAATCTTGAACGATACAACTATTTAACGGAAAATTCTGTCGCCTCTTACGACAAGCCTCTAATAGGCCAGAAACCTATTCTCTAAGCCCCCGATCCACCAGGGGGTTTAACCAATCAAAAAGGACCAAGGGAACTAAACAATCCTAACTCTACCCCAAACCCTCCTCAATGGAATGTAATAGATTTTTTTAAAAAAATTTTCAGATATCCTTGAAAGTTTTATAATTATTTAAGACAAACCTCTTGAAGCAAACAACAGAAATTGAAGTTTAATCTGATAATAACTTAACTCCTACTTTCTTAAGTAATCATAAGATAATTGAACTCAAACCTATTTCATCTCTTATCTTTAATATCTATTAATTGGTTTTAACAGGGCTAAGGAACTATATTCTTATAGATGCTATGCCTATATGGCGGTGTGTGCATGAGTTGTATAAGACATAGCATATATAAGAATAAAACTAACTGAACTTCTTTAATTTAGTTTTTAAAAAAATCTTGAACGATGCAACTATTTAACGGAAAATTCTGTCGCCTCTTACGACAAGCCTCTAATAGGCCAGGAACCTATTCTCTAAGCCCCCGATCCACCAGGGGGTTTAACCAATCAAAAAGGACCAAGGGAACTAAACAAACCTAACTCTATCCCAAACCCTCCCTCAATGGAATGTAATAGATTTTAAATTTTAAAAAATCCAGAAATCTTTTAAAGATTTATAATTATTTAAGAAAAACCTCTTTAAGCAAACAACTTAAATTTGAATTGAAACGAACTTCTGTAAGCAAACAACTCAAATTTGAATTAAATCTTATATTAACTTAAATCGTACCTACTTTAGTAAACTATTAATATTTATCAACCGATTTGAACCGACTTAACTGCGCTGAACTGTGGACATCCCTGGCAGAATATACTGCCAACCAATACATACAGCTACTAGATGAAATATCTCCTGTCCTAGAAGTCCTCCTTCCTGAGGTCTGGAACATTCCTCCTGGGAGGTCAGTATCCAGTTCAGAACAGGCCTGACTTCCTGGAGAACCACCACTGGGGGCGGCTGTGTGGGAGGAAACTTAATAAACCTGTGATCCGTACCTTCACTTTCCAGCTGGAACACCTCAGGTTCCCCAAGTCTTCCATCTGCAGTAGTGGTACGCTGCTGGACAGAGCTCTGGTGCCATGGTAGGGTGGGCTCAATGTCCAGGATGATGACCACTGGGAGTGGTGCTGGGGGCAGTGCTGGGGGAAAAGGGTCAGGATCACAAGGTACATCAATCTCTCATCTCCTAAAAAAAAATGAAAACTATACAGTGGAAGAGAAGATTTATAAAGAATTTATGCATTTTCACTATATGATCTTTAAAGCTTCACCCTGTCTCTTTGAAAAATACAGAATAAATATCTCATGAAAATAATGCATCTAAAAAAATTTCATTTAAAGTAATTGAATTTCAGTTGAAGATTTATGGCAGATCCTTAAACATATTTTCTCAAATACTTGCTGATAATAACATATGAAAACTATGATACCTCTGTCTGTCGTGTGCATTGCCCTCAACTCCTCCTGGGAAACAGCTGGTGGACAAGCTGGCAGGAGAAACTCATCAGCAACAGCTGATAGGCAGTATGGCATGAGGAACTCAGCGGGCTCCACACCAGGGACAGGGAATCCTCCTCGGGGAAAGCGGGCTCCAAACCAGGGACAGCGGACTTCTCCTCATGGACAGCGGGCTCCAAACCAGGGACAGCGGACTCCTCCTCAGGGACAGCGGGCTCCAAACCAGGGACAGCGTGCTTCAAACCACGGACAGCTGACTCCAAACCAGGGACAGCGTGCTCCTCACCACGGACAGCGGACTCCAAACCAGGGACAACGGACTCCAAACCAGGGACAGCAGGCTCCAAACCAGGGACAGTGGGCTTCAAACCACTGACAGCGGGCTCCAAACCAGGGACTGCGGGCTCCAAACCACGGACAGTGGACTCCAAACCAGGGACAGCGGGCTCCAAACCAGGGACAACGGACTCCAAACCAGGGACAGCAGGCTCCAAACCAGGGACAACGGACTCCAAACCAGGGACAGCGGGCTCCTCACCAGGGACAGCAGACTCCAAACCAGGGACAGCGGACTCCTCCTCAGGGACAGCAGGCTCCAAACCACGGACAGCAGGCTCCAAACCAGGGACAGCGGGCTCCAAACCAGGGACAAAGGACTCCAAACCAGGGACAGCAGATTCCTCACCAGGGACAACGGACTCCAAACCACGGACAGCGGACTCCTCACCAGGGACAGTGGGCTCCAAACCAGGGACAGCAGGCTCCAAACCAGGGACAACGGACTCCAAACCAGGGACAGCGGGCTCCTCACCAGGGACAGCAGACTCCAAACCAGGGACAGCGGACTCCTCCTCAGGGACGGCAGGCTCCAAACCACGGACAGTGGGCTCCAAACCAGGGACAGCGGGCTCCAAACCAGGGACAAAGGACTCCAAACCAGGGACAGCAGATTCCTCACCAGGGACAACGGACACCAAACCACGGACAGCGGACTCCTCACCAGGGACAGTGGGCTCCAAACCAGGGACAGCGGGCTCCAAACCAGGGACAGCGGGCTCCAAACCAGGGACAGCGGGCTCCTCACCAGGGACAGTAGACTCCTCCTCAGGGACAGCAGGCTCCTCACCAGGGACAGCAGACTCTAAACCAGGGACATCGGGCTCCAAACCAGGGACAACGGACTCCAAACCACGGAAAGCGGACTCCTCACCAGGGACAGCGGGCTCCAAACCAGGGACAGCGGGCTCCTCACCAGGGACAGCGGGCTCCAAACCAGGGACAGCGGGCTCCAAACCAGGGACAGCGGGCTCCTCACCAGGGACAGCGGGCTCCTCACCAGGGACAGCAGACTCCAAACCAGGGACATCGGGCTCCAAACCAGGGACAACGGACTCCAAGCCACGGAAAGCGGACTCCTCACCAGGGACAGCAGACTCTAAACCAGGGACATCGGGCTCCAAACCCGAGACAACGGACTCCAAACCACGGAAAGCGGACTCCTCACCAGGGACAGCGGGCTCCAAACCAGGGACAGCGGGCTCCTCACCAGGGACAGCGGGCTCCAAACCAGGGACAGCGGGCTCCAAACCAGGGACAGCGGGCTCCTCACCAGGGACAGTAGACTCCTCACCAGGGACAGCGGGCTCCTCACCAGGGACAGCAGATTCTAAACCAGGGACATCGGGCTCCAAACCAGGGACAACGGACTCCAAACCACGGAAAGCGGACTCCTCACCAGGGACAGCGTGCTCCAAACCAGGGACAGCGGGCTCCTCACCAGGAACTGCGGGCTCCAAACCACGGACAGCGGACTTCCCCTCATGGACAGCGGGCTCCAAACCAGGGACAGTGGGCTCCAAACCAGGGACAGCGGGCTCCTCCTCAGGGACAGCAGGCTCCAAACCAGGGACAACGGACTCCAAACCACAGACAGCGGACTCCTCACCAGGGACAGCGGGCTCCAAACCAGGGACAGCGGGCTCCTCACCAGGGACAGCGGGCTCCAAACCAGGGACAGCAGACTCCAAACCAGGGACAGCAGGCTCCAAACCAGGGACAACCGACTCCAAACCACGGACAGCGGACTCCTCACCAGGGACATCGGGCTCCAAACCAGGGACAGTGGGCTCCTCACCAGGGACAGGGGGCTCCTCACCAGGGACAGCGGGCTCCAAACCACGGACAGCGGACTTCTCCTCATGGACAGCGGGCTCCAAACCAGGGACAGCGGGCTCCAAACCAGGGACAGTGGGCTCCAAACCAGGGACTGCAGGCTTCTCCTCAGGGACAGCGGGCTCCAAACCAGGGACAGCAGGCTCCTCACCACGGACAGCGGACTCCAAACCAGGGACAGCAGGCTCCAAACCAGGGACAGCGGGCTCCAAACCACGGACAGTGGACTCCTCACCAGGGACAGCGGGCTCCAAACCACGGACAGTGGACTCCAAACCAGGGACTGCAGGCTTCTCCTCAGGGACAGCGGGCTCCAAACCAGGGACAGCGGGCTCCTCACCATGGACAGCGGGCTCCTCCTCAGGGACGGCGGGCTCCAAACCAGGGACGGCGGGCTCCTCCTCAGGGATGGCGGGCTCCAAACCAGGGACAGCGGGCTCCATCTTAA